TTTTTTTTTCTAAATGTCCACTACACTAAACATGTGTATGCATCTTTTATGCATTTTTTTGCTCTCTCTCTCTCTCTGTGTGTATTTCTTACTATTATAGCTTAAATTTTATTTCTTTCGTATGTATGTGTGTAATGTCAAAACGAGAGAAAAAAGGCACATGTTTTAAAGAATACAACGGGTGAAATAATATTCTTGTAGTTTTATTCAAAAAAAACGAATTTACCAATCTGGTACAAAACCACATTGTTCACAAAGTTTTTTATCTCCGATATTCGAATGTTCTTGTTTTAATGGACATCCTTCAATTTGTTCACGAATAGTACTTGTTAGACCAATATGAGTTGCATCACAAATTGGCGACCGTTTCGTATATTTACATGCACATATTAAATAAACTGTTTGAGCATGTTCAGGTACGATCCATTTAAGAGGACGAAACGAAGTACCAGTATGCGAACCTTAACAAAAGAATATACAATTCATTTTTTGTATTCCTACGAAATTTCAGTGGCGGATTTTGGAGGGGAAGGGCGATACCTGAGTAGGGGGTGAGGATGATTTCGGCTAAAAACTATTTTTGAGTTCAATCGAGGTAATGTGAACCTATTTTTCTGTAAAAAATTCTGAAGGGAGGGACGGTCGCCCCAAATCCGCCACTACGAAATTTATAATAAAACTATATTTAAAGAAAAATTTATACCATCACACCATGGTTGTTTTTTACTTAAACCACAAGTACACCATAATTTAATTTCACCTGGTTTTAAATCTCGTATTGAACATGGTCCATACTAGAATAAATTCAAGATGTAGTTTAATATAAAATAAATTAAAATTTAATCACGTTTAAATTATTTATTATCAGCAGAATTTAGATTTTTTACCGTTGGAACATGAGGCTTTAACGTTGATTGATCGGTCATTTTTCAATAATGATTCATATATTGTCATAACAACTATCTCTTTAACCAATAGAAAATAAATCAAATAAACCTTTATATTAATAATAATATAAAAATCTGAGATTTTCTTGTTAAATTAATAGATTTTGAAATCTTTGTTTAGTTTTATAAAAATAATTTTTGTTTCATCTGATTATATATTTAACATAAACAATCTTAGTCCATAGAATATTCCATGGATAGAAGAAAAACTGATCTAACTTATTTAGTTGAATAGACAAATCAAGTTATTTTTCATTTAACGCATATGTTTATGTTTGTTGTTAATTTTAGATAAGAGCATGTCTGCTGAAGCACCTAAAACTGCTAAGGAACCATTTGTTCCTAAATACGAGATCGCTACTGGTCTTCATAAAGGGCGTAAAATAGAAAAATTTGTAACAAAACGCGTTCGTCCAACACGTCGTACACAAGTATGAATTGATGATTTATTTTTTCTATTTCATATTTTTTTTTAATTTTTCATAGAAAAAAAGCAAACGTGTTAAATTCGTTCGCGATCTTGTTCGTGAACTTGTTGGTTTTATGCCATATGAACGACGAGCTATGGAATTAATGAAGGTCGGACGTGATAAACGTGCATTCAAATATGTCAAAGCACGTGTATGTATTCAGAAATTATTTTGTTATTGTTAATTAATCTTTATTTTTCTTCGATATATTTTAGTTAGGAAGCCATCAACGCGCCAAAAAGAAACGTGATGAACTTCAAGCAGCTATTCTTGCTCAACGCAAAGCACATAAATAAACCTAATTTAAACTTTTGTTTATGCTTTGTTTTTAAAAGAAAATAAATAAAAAAACAAGATCGAACGAAACATCATTTATAGAAGAAGAAAAAAAAAACATATTATCATCTTGATTTTTCTTTCATTTAAAGGTATAGAATGGATAGAACACCAATGCATAATTCATCACCAAATATAGTTCCTCCTAGTACAACAACAACAGCAACACATCATGCGAATCATGTTTCCAATAAGATGGTCTATGTTTGTGGTGAATGTCATAAAGATAATGAATTAAAATCTACAGATGTTATTCGATGTAAAATGAGAATATTCATTTCGTTTTCTTAATACTTAATTTTTCATTTGTTTATAGGTAATGAATGTGGATATCGAATATTATATAAGAAAAGAACAAAACGATTGATTGTTTATGATGCTAGATAGTTTTCTGTTTATTATATAGATACTTTTGTATACAAAGAATAAAGAAAAGTCTGATATATTGATATTGAACAATAGGAGAAAAAAGTTTATAAAGGAAATCCTGTTTCATGATTTTAATGTTAATAAATAAGTAACTCCCGTCTAAAGACTCGCTCAACTCTTTCTTGTAGAAATCGTGTTACTAAACAACTACCAAGCTATTGATTTATATCATTAAACAAAACAGAAGTCAGATTTGAATTCTTCGACTTCGATTAACCTTCGGTCAACCCTTATAAATAAAAATTCGTTTTATATCTTTACCTAATTTTTGAACCAATCAGTGAAGTGTGGACACACAAGCAAACAATTTATTCTTGCAAGACCCTTCTCTACGAGAAAGAGAATTTATCAAAATCTTCTTATCGAAGAAACGAATACAATAAAAGTTTTAAGCTAGTAGTATCATATTCTCTATATGCAATGATGATGTCTTAAGTCTATATCTTATATTTTTACTTTTACGATTAGTATCATTTCTTTTTGCTGTTTTTGAATATCAATAATATCTCTTATCATTAATGAACAAAAAGCATTGATAAGAATCAAGATAGAAAGATAGTTTTGTTCTTTGAAGTGTGACCGAAAACTGTAATCTCACATTGTTTATTGAAGGAGGAATAGAGAGAGAGAGAGAGGGAGAGGATGTGGGTGTGAAGAGACGTGTTCAAATAAACATCTATTTGAATAGTAGATAGAGAGAAATCAAATATCATTATACATACGAGGTCATTTCACATCGGTCAGATACATCATGAAACATTTCGAAGGTAAAACTATCTTTTTTTTGTTCGAAAATCTAAAGTTTTTTATTTTAAATAAAGATCTATCGTTATTATGGTTTATAATAACCACAGTTTCATCAATGACAATATCACCACATGGTGGTTATCTGTATATTGATGAAGGAACAGATTTTTATATTGAATGTATTGGTATCAATCCCAATTGGATTATTGCTAAACGTTTATTATCAGAGAATGCTCGGTAAAGAATATATTTTATTGAAAAAAAAACAACATTTTTTTCTGTGTAGTATTTCAACAGAACTAATTGAAAATAATCGAAAATCTGTTTTGACTATTCATGGAATGGATACGTCTCATACTGGTCCGTATCTATGTCAAACAAATCAATCTATATCAACAATTATTCTTCAATTAACAAGTATATAAAAAACTTTCACAAAGATTTTGAATTTTTTTTGTTTATTAAGAACATAAAGCAGATATGACGAAACAAATTCGTTTTATGAATACAAATACGAATCAATCAGTTGTCCATGGAAGTGATGTTCGATTAAATTGTTTTGCTCAATATTATAGTGAAAAAGTATGTAGATAAAATATTTAGAAATTAAATACAAATATATTTAGGCAATGGATTCACCTTATTTACCGAAAATTCTCTGGTTTTTTGAACGACGACAGATATATAATAATGGTATAAATATTGAAATTTAGTTTATTAAAGAAGATTTTTTTTTCTTATAGATGAGAAATATATTCTTGGTACGGATAGTTTAGTTATTCGAAATTTTGATTATTATGATCAAGGTGTTTATTATTGTCGAGCTTTTATAACATTAAAAAATAATTTTCTCAGTAAAATTTATCCTATTTTTGTACAATTACAAAGTATTTATAAATCAATTTGTTTTTCTATATTAAATTTCTAATTTATTTAAAGATTCATCGTCGTATCTTAATGATACATTAATCCGAACTATTGAAAATAAACATTGTAATGGTTTTAGTGAAAATATAAAAACAAATAATACAATATCATATTGTAATACCGATGGTTACATATCAAATCAAACATGTCCAATAGGTCAAATATGGAATGATGATTATTCACAATGTACATTACCATTAAGTATGTTTTAGATTAGATAAATTTTGTATAAGCACAGTGATTTATCTAGAGAGAGGGCGGCGCCCTTCCGGAGAACTATATTGCCTTCTCAAAAATTGCAATTTTTGTGCTTGTACTATGTATTTGCCCTCCCGGAAATCGCTATCGCACTCTCGAAAGGAAAAACCTAGATAAAACACTGTATAAACATTTCTTATTGAAATTTTCGTTTGACCGACGATAAACACGAATTTCGGTACTCTATTAGAAAATTTCGCTCGAAAAAATATTAAGATGTACTTTATATTACCCAAATAGCAACTTAGATAAGTGAGCACATTGTATCTTCAATAGAATATAATAAAATGAAACATGAAGGAAGCAATAAAAACATTATGTTTTATAAAGAGGTTAACATAGCATAAATCAAATAAAGTGGTAATCGAATTAGAGGCAGCATATATATTTTTTTTTGAACTTTTCTCTCATAAAGTTTGGTATTATTTTCTAACTATTAATCTTCTTCACACAAGTTTGTTTGGCTCGAATAAACAATCCCACATTACTTCTTGATTATACTGAATTTCAAGATAAGATAATGCATCAATTTCGACAGTTAAATCAACTAACAATTTCATAATATAACTAGACACTTATCCTAATGGATCTCTTTGACTGCCGCAGATTATTTTTCTGACTCAATCCCAAGTTAGGATTCACTATCGAAGACCAAATATATAATCAGTAAAACTATTATGACTTTTCCTCGCTATAATAAGCATGTTGAATACAATCGGAATCATATCCTTCCTTCCATCAAAACTCCGAACAGATATTTCTGCATCTGATAGACTCAGAGCAAAAATGAATATTAAAATGTCTGTCATTTACATCTCGTCATACTCATTACTATCAACATAAGAGTCCTTTTTTTCTTCTTTGCTAAAAATAATATCTAATCTATAATAAAGAAACCTTAGGAAAACTATCAAAAAGATTTTTTTACATTTCAATGATTTCAGTTGATTTTGTCAATAAAAGAAGATTAAAAAAGAACAATCTTTTTTTGTGTTTTTCATAGATCATAATCAAATTTTACAAATTATTCCAAATCTTTCTCATATGAATGTTGAATTGGGTCGTACATATACATTGTTATGTCAATCAAATGATCCTCAAATTGAACCTGAATGGACTTATGAAAATGGAACAATTATCGGTCCAGGCATATTAACTGAACAACAGTAAAAATATACTTGAATAATCATATTTTTACTCTCGCTTTTTTTTTCACTAATTTTAATAGAATAACATCGTACACATTAAGTAATACTCATGCACTCTATCTCCGGTTAGCACCCGTTACGATCGGCACGTATATTTGTCGTTCACGTTCCGTTATAAAACCAATGAATAAAACGGAAGTAACGATAACAACAACATCAATTACTTTAACAGCACAAAGTTAGTTTGATGCTAAAAGAAATAGTTTTATTATTAAAAATCAAAAAACAAAATTTTTTTTTCTTTTCTAGTTATTGCAGAAACAAATGGAATATCATTTCAATCATCAACATTAGCTGAATATCATGTACGAATAAATGCAACTTTATTCATTGCTTGTCGTCCAGAATATTTCGATTTTCAAACAAATTCATCTTATTTACCAACAGCTAATATTCTACGAATAAATGGTAAAGAACATAGAAGAGAAAAAGAAAATATTTTCTTTTTTTTTTAAATAGATAATAATCATTTTCAATTATCGGAAACTATGGATGGATTACTTATTGATCAAATCGGACCAAATGAAAGTGGCATGTATTTATGTATAGGAAAAATTCCGTTGGCCAAACAATGGATGACATCATTTTATCCTGTTATGATTTTTGTTTCCGATCCATTATGTGAGACTATTTTAATTTTATTTCATTTTTTTTTCTCTTTTTTTTTACTAGGAAAAGAAAAAAAGAAAGAAACAAGAAGAAATAACACATTCTCTCTCGTCAAATTAGAATTATATGACTTGTCTTCTTTTTTTGCTTTATTTCATATTATTATACTTGTCTGTTTTGTTTCTCTTTTTTTATCAATAAAAAAAATAATAATAAAATGTCATTATGAAAACAGATAATTGTGAACAACAACCTATTAACACAAAGGTAGGATCTAGTTTTTTCGATAACTGATTAGCGTTAGAAACAAAAAGAAGAATATATATATTTTGTTGATATTCAACTCATCTAATTACGTTTTTATCAGTAGAATATAATATAAGTCACACATGCACGAAAAGAACAAACCGTCTTTTTTGGAAGATAAAAGAAATAAGGTAAATCTAAGATAGATGTTGCATGTTTTAAGTATGAGTAGTATATATTAAGCGGATCGTCTTTAATATCAAATCCGGTTAATTCAGATATTCCTTCAAGCAAAAAAGAGATGTGAAGAAACTTATGGAATTATTGCACTCGGAATAAAATACTTGTCATGCATTAAGATACAATGTAGTTGAGATATGAAGAAGAAAAAAAAAAGAATCTTATCGATCGATGATTTTCTAAATGAGTGAGATGCATGTATATAAGTTCTTGTCTATTTCTTTTGTCAAAATTCATCAACAACATCTTGCCTTTGCTTTTCTTTTTCTTTATTCATTCTTTCTCTCTCTCTCTCTATCTCTTCTATTCGTCTCTTAAGTCTGATAGATTATGATTACTTTTTTTTTTAGTTCGGAAATAGCAAAGACGACAACAAAAAAAACTGCTTTTACTATTTTCTCACTTATTCCTACATCCACTCCATTTCTAATCTTATCCAAACACGATTTTAGATCGAGAGCACACACATATATTAAAAATCATCCCATTCCTTTAGTTTCATTATCTAATACAAACAAATCAAGACGAATATGTTACATGGAAATTGTAAAGAATAATATTTCATTTATTTGTTAAAGATATATTATCGTTTTTTTTTTATTTTAGTACGGTGATGATAATAATGATCCTTATGCATCTCGATGGTCAATTGGAGAGCTTAGAGAACGTCAAACAAATATTTCTGTCTGTGCACGTATATATGAAGAATATGCAGATGCTGAACATTTCTTTGATTTTGCCAGAAAAACAACTTCAATCGTCTTTCGAACAAGTAATTTCAATAGAAAACAGATTTCTTTTAATATATTCATGTTTTCTTTCTTTAGAAGCTGCTTCATTTTTCTTTGCAATTTCTCTTATTTTACCAATTATAATGATTAGTGTTGGTAAGATTTGTTATTTGTCATCATGTATCCTTTTTCTTTCCTACATTGTATTTATTTAGGCATTTCAAATCTAGAAGAATGTCCATTAGATCGTAATATTCCAGTTTTTGTACTTGTCGGCGGAGCATTAGGTTCACTGAAATTATTACAAGTTCTTTGGAAACAATATAATCGTCATAATGGTCCATCAGAAGAAGAAGGAACCGATGCTCAAAGCGGATCGGTATATAGTTTTTTTTCTCGAAGACATAAAGTTTATTATAAAGAAAAATAAATTCTTTTTTTCGACTCTGTAGACTTATAAGATTAAATTAATTAGATATACATGTATATTTAACATTGAGAATTTCTGATGTATTATTATTATTTATGTAAGAAGATTTATTTAAATATAATATAGTTTTTTTTTGACGAAAAGGATGTATGAATGTCAGAAGAAATGTTTTCTTTAAACGCATAATGACATGAGAAAATATACTTTAGATTTCTATTTATAGGAAAATATAAATGTTTTTTGATTGAATCTATATCAAATAGAAGTATGGAAAAAGGAATACTTTTGTAAAGAGCGATAATTACTTTCTTTTTGTTTTATATGATTCATATACATTGTATTTTAAACCATTAATTTAAAAATTTTGTTCTCGTAGTTCGAGTTTTTACCGGTTAAGTGACCTTTTACGTGATTTTAAGATAGAATCTTTATGATTAATAAATAACGATCAGCTTTGTTTTATTCGAGTTTCTTTTGACCTATGGCAGGAAGGTAGAAATGTCATGACAAAGTCATTCGATATTAAATTAATATTATTTACAGTATATGTTTTGATTTTATAGACATTTATGGATGTTCTCACAACACTTTTTCTTATTGTTTGGTTTATATATGGTAATCATCTAATATATCGTTATCGTGTGCCACGTTTTGAACAAACAACTGAAGATCCTGAACATTGGTGTTCAAAAAATGTTTATAGTTTAACAATAATTAGTATCGCTTATACATATTCATTGGTTACATTAATGATTTTAATTGTTGTTATTGTTGTCTTTACCGTTCATTTTCAATATCGTCGTCGTGCCATCCAAGAGGCGAAAGAAGCCGGATGTACATGATTGAACTTTTTTTTTATTTCTTTCAATAAATAGAATTATATCACTGTAAAACAAACACGCACACACATATATATATATATGTATAAATGTTAAGATTTATCTTTCGATATGTTTCAATCGGAATAATAATAAGAATAAAAACAAAAGTTTTATCAATCTATGAGATGTCCATAGACGATAAGAAGATGAACTGATATGAATATCACGTTCAATATATGCAATTGTTATTGTTGGTGTAGTTATCGTTGATGATCGAAAGTGTTTTCTAGTAGATTTTAATCTTAATGACGTATTTTTTAAATGACGATGAAATTTTCTTGTTGTTAATGTTGAAAGAACAATAATTTCTTCTAAAATAAAAATATTAACTACAACAACTAGATCTTAATATAAGAAAAATACATACGTGAAATAAATATAATAGCTTCTTTTCGTCCATGAATATTTTCCGCAATACAATTATATTGTCCAAAATCATCAATACTGTTTATCTAAGATTGAAGATAAAATATTTACATGTAATCAAATAGAATAGAATTTTTCATACCTGAATATTTAATCGATTTATTACCATTGTTTGATTAATTTGTATATTACTTATTTGTTGATTATCATCAATAATTTTTCCTTTTCTTTCCCAAGAAATCCTAGCAAATGGTCGACTCAATACTGAACATTCAAGTGTAATATTTTGATTTAATTGACTTTGAATAAAACTATTATTAATTATAATAATAGGTGAAACTATAAATATATACATTTATTTGTTTTTCTTTTGCTTTAAATCAATAAACTTAAACTTACATTCAACATTGATTGTAAATATACGATTTGATGCAGGTAAAACACCATTATCAGCAATACATTCAACTGTACGTGGAAATTGACTTGTAACTGATGAAATACGCCATATATTACTATTATCGGGTGGTACTAAGAAAAGAAAAATACGTAAACTTTCATATGAATCAAAGAAAAAGGGTGTCAACATGATTCTATTGTTCTTTTGCATAATACAATTAAGAAATATATTCTAAGTAGCATGAAAAAGTGCGTGTGAACTTGTGGAAAGAAAAAAAAATAGATGATTGAATATAGACTCTCATTAATATGTCTACTTACATGAATCAATTCGATTCATATCAATATCACGCATACGCCAACGTATACGAGGTGTTGGTGTGCCCTCAGCACGACATAATAGTTCTAATGGTGCACCATTTTGTACTGAAATTATCGATGGATTTGGACGAAAATCAGTAATACGTGGTGGGACTGAAATTAAAAAAATTTTTGTATAGATAAATATTTAACTGATTTTTGTATTTTACCTTGAACAGTAAGAAATATTCTTTTTGTTTTTCTTGGTTCTGTATTTATCTGACATTGATATTCACCTTGATCATCTTCATTAACACGATCAATTATTAAATTATATGATCCAACATAATCAGATTCAAGACGATAATGATCTTTATTTGAGTAGACAACACCATCAAAAGCAATTAATGTTAGTTGTTCTTGTTGTTG